GGGGTTGCTACATCACGTTCGCTTTCTAAGTGCTTCAACTGAACTCGATGTTGAGTTCTTTTTCATAGATGGAGTGAATTGACATAGATAATTTTTTATATAGTAATTGTTTATTTTAGTTATATCGTCGTTTATTAGTTTAATTTAATTTTGTTATTAATATGTCATTTATCTTAATTATTATTTTGCTATATTTTTTTTATGTGAGTTATAAATAGCCACATTATTTATGTAATAGGGAGACTTTAAATATTTAGAATTAAATAGTAGACTTTGTTTTCTCTCCGAATTGAGAATTTTCCCCTTATGAGATTACTTTTAGGTGGATTCCAGAACTTTCCGTCCGAGTTAAGCCAGTAAAATCTTGTTTTATCCCTTCTGTTGCGTTAGTTGGTATCAGAGCTCTCGGTCTTTCCCGGAGTTCGACAGCATAATCGGTGATTGGAGCCACTTCTACGCCGATGAGCCTGAAGTTTCACATTACCGGAGTTACGGATCTCGACGGTAGAGTGCCCACCAACGAACCTTTTCTCCACCTCCACCATCTTCGTCATCTTACGACTGTCACCACCACCACCACCATGACTTTTACTCCTACCACCTCTACCATTACCACCATCAACACCAAAACCAACACCACCAGATTCACCAGCCCTACCACCACTATCAACCAAGTTCGAAACAACCTGCACAAAAATCTCAAATTCCAGATACATCCAAATCCATAAAGCAAGATTCAACACTTAGATTCAAGATCCCTAACTTTAGAGGAGTTTTTGATAAAAGGAAATTCAGTGAATGGCTTGAAATTGTGGATGAATTTTTCAATAACATAGATGTAGAGATGACAAACCAAGCTTTTCTGGTGGCTTCTCAATTCAGAGGCTACGTTGTCTATTGGTGGGAAAAGTTGCAGAAACAAAGAGAATCTCAGGAGAAAAAGAGGATTAGAAGTTGGTAGAAAATGCGAGAAACATTGAAGCAAAATTTCATGTCCACCGATCTGCAAATCAAACACTTAAGCTCCAGTCCAATTGTGGCTTTTACGGCGACGACAGATTCGAATGGCGGCGTCGTGGACAACGAGAGTGGTGCGGCGAATTCCTTGGGTGCGACGAGGAAGCAGAACCGCCGAATAGAGAGGACGGATTTGGGGCGCGATTACGTGAGGGAGAACAGTCGGCAGACTTCGCCAGAGGGCGCCTTTAGCTGTGGCACGGGCAGCACAGACAAATCCGGAAAAACGGAGCACCACCGCCCGAAACTAGTCAGCGCGAGACTCTCACGGCCTTCCGAAACCGTGCGCCACCCAGCCGGTGCGACAGCCTCAGGTTCAAATGGCTCCGACAGCGACGCCATATTCACCGTCGATCCAAGCTTCAGCGGCGACTCCAGCGACGAGGGCGGTGATCCCAGCTGGAACAGCGCGAACGATTTAAGCAAGGCACAAGGCAACGCCGTATTCTGTTTGAAGGTCTCTTCTCCACGACCTTCTGATGATGTTCAGCGATATGGGCTTAGAGAGGTTGATCTAGCCCAAGATCAAGATGACCCACTTCAACTTAATGAGCCCAACGGTCCAATTGGCCCAAATCAGATCAGTGAGTTCAGCAAATTATTTTGCCCAACGCTGATTGCTGAATCTAATAAGCAAAATGATGCTGATTTCTTTCACAAGCTGAACAATCAATTTGGCCCAAATTTTATGTAGAAATCCAAGCCAGGCTTACCAAAAGGTAGACCCACAACCCTTGCTGATATGATGACATTTGTTTCTGAATGGTTTGAATACGAAGAGAATAAAAATCACTTTTGTGATACATTAGGCTATGGTTTGACTAAGTTTGAGGAAGGCGATCAGCTTATGGATTCCTTGGATGTGACGAAAAGTGAGGCTTTGGATGATCAATGTGGTCCTGAAATATTTGATGAGATGCAAAGTGAACAAAAATATCAAGTTGAGGGAGAAGTTGAAACCATGGGCACAGAACTTGGAAAATTGAAATTTGAGGATAATAAGTGTTGATTTGGTTGTTAAGCAGTCTATTCTGCTGGTTTTCAAAATCATTTTTTATGGGAAGTGTGTATTTAACGGATTGTGTATAATAAAAATTTTAATAAATTTTTAAGATATTTTATAGAATACATTAACTTATGTGCAAATAAATTTATTTATGAATAAATTTACCTAACAAACGATTAGGTCGATAATTTAAATTTTTTCACCACGAATGATCCTCATTTTAAACTTGTTTGGAATACTAAAATCTTCTTCGTCAATTTCTTGAATCTACAAAGACGTGTGTGTGGGCACACTTGAAACAAAATAGTATTAGCACTCAAAACACTCAAGTCTTCTACGAACACCAACTCATGCACGACGTGGAACTAGGAATTTGTAAGAACTTTTCTTATCTTTTTCTCTAATGTTACATGTCCACCTCTAGTAGGTTACATGCTAATTAACTACGTGTTACATGCCTATAGTAGGCACATGCCACTTGTAGGGAGGGAAGTGAAAAAGCTACACACATGTCACTAGCATGTTACATACTATCTCACAGAATGTTACGCGCCCGTAACTAGCATGTTACACGCCTATCACCAACTCATGCACGACGTGGAACTAGAAATTTGTAAAAACTTTTCTTCTCTTTTTCTCTAAGGTTACATGCCCACATCTAGTAGGTTACATGCTAACCAACTACGTGTTACATGCCTATACTAGGCACACGCCACCTATAGGGGAGGGAATGGAAAAGCTACACACATGTCACTAGCATGTTACACACTGTCTGATAGAATGTTACACGCCCGTAACTAGCATGTTACACACTATCACATAGGGGAAGGGAGAAAAAAATTGTGTTCTCTAATTTTCTGCAGTCTCCTATTTATAGAGTACGTCTTAGAGTCCTAGAGAAATTATATCTTATATTTTAAGATAAGGTTTTAGAAAATAAGATATAATATTTAATTTTAAATCCTATTTAAAATCAAAGAAAATTCCTATTTAATTTTGGAACAATTTTCTCTCTCCTACTGTAGATAAAATTCAGCCACCACAAGGTTAAGCTCCCTGTGGCTGGCGCCTATTGTACATAAGGAGGCAACAAAATTTCTCTTTTATCTAGTTGCCCAATTTTGACTAAAATTCAAATTCCTATTAATGTCAAACTTAATTTAATTTGAATTCTAATTGGATAACTTATTAAAGAAATCAATTGGATAACTTAGAGAACAAGCAACTGAATCCCAGAGGAATTCCTACAATGTTGGTCCCGTGACAATTGTGATCTTCATCATATGTGTATTCCAAAATTCAAATTAAATAATCACATTATTTAATATTCAATTAATTATTTTTGAGTGTTTTATTTAGAATTCTAAAATTTTAAAATTCTCATTTTACCCTTAGTGTATGGTAGAATTACAAGAACGACACGGGGACTCATGGACTTATAATTCTGAGCTCCAATAAAATTAGTAATTATTTAAAACTCTTTAATTAATTAATTAATTAATTCTATTAATTCCAAAATTACTCAACTATAAACTTGGAATTGCACTCTCGTAATTATTGATATAATTTACTTCCAAACTATGAAGTATCCATTTGATATAGTCATTACATATAAATCAATCATACATAAATAATCATAATTAGAGATAGATGAAATCCATTATCCTCTCTTATTACATGTTTATCCTTTAGTACTATTGATTCTTTAATGGATAATGATTCATAAAATAAATTCATGAATCGGAGCTCATACTAATGCAAGTACTGAATCAACCCTCAAGAGAATTATTTTCTGAAGCACCGAATCCGTTAGCATATTCTTGTCAGCCAATTTTCTGGAGCACTAGGGATTGATTTTGAGGAGTTCAATATCAAAACTTCAAGTGGGCATCAACGGCGATGGGTTTGGAATTTTGCGGCAATTCGTTGGAGCATTGTCTTGGTGCCTTTGTAGATTTGGGATGAGATACGGCGAAACTTTTCGGTTGGGGTCTTCCACTTGCACAAGCTTAAGCGAGTTTTTTTTTTTTTTGTTTTTTTTTTTGTTTTGCCACTATTGGTTTCGTTTGCTACATCACGTTTGCCTTCTGAGTGCTTCTACCGAGCTCGAGGTCGAATTCTTTTTCATAGGCGAGATGAACTGATGTAGGGAGTTTTTGATATAGTAGTCGTTTATTTTAGTTGTATCATCATTTATTAGTTTAGTTTAGTTTTGTTATCAATATGTCGTTTATATCAGTTGTTATTTTGCTATCGTTTTCTATGTGAGCTATAAATAGCCGCATTGCTTATATAATAGGAAGACTTTGAATATTTGAGAATTGAATACTAAATTTGTGTTTTCTCTCCAAATTGGGAACTTTACTCTTATGTGGTTGCTTTTAGGTGGATTCAGGAATTTTCCGTCCGATTAAGCCAGTAAAATCCCGTTCTATCCATTTTGCTGTGTCACCACTTTTGTTTTATTATTTTTTGTATGGAAATCAAGTTACTAGCAAATTAGAGCAAAAGAAACAATTTACAAATAAAAAAGGCAAACTAATCTCCCAAATATGGGTCCCAAGAAGCATGAATATCAAAAGGATAAGATGTAATTAATATACAAATTATAATACTTGATTATTATCTTCTTCAAATGTGTGTAGCAGCATATTCCACAATTACAACAACTGTACAAGATCATTCAAGTGTTCAATCACCTAGCTAAAGAAATACATCGATCATATATAGTTCATCTGCTTTATACTTTCTACATCAAAAGCACCTCACTAACAAGTATAATATATATATATATATAGAGAGAGAGAGAGAGAGAGAGTATGTGTATCAATTATCTATATATAGGGAACTTTCTGAAAAAATATCTATTGCGTATAACTGAAATAATTGGCCAATCAACTCAGGACTTTCAGGCCACTCTAACTATATGTATAGCTGCTATAAATTCCTAACAGCAAAATCTCCATACTCGATCCAAATCTTTACAACTTATTGACTATTTATATCAATTTATATTTTTAGTGTATATAATAAGATCAATTGGCTGGTGGCAATCTGTATACATACATATATATATATACATATATATATATATATATAAATATACCTTCAACGTTTTAAGTCCTCGCAGGTTAGGCATAAATAATGAGATCATGTATTTGTAGTAGCAGCAGCCTGCGCTTCCCCGAAAATGAATCAAGAAAACCAATTCATCCCCGGCAATTGAAAAGGTCTTTGGAAGAGCCCATCTCCCAAACCTCCGAGCACCGATTGCTGGTGCAACGACGTCGTCTGGGCGGGAATCTGGCTGAGCAGAGTCGCCAACGAGTTCGCGTGGCTATTGCCTTCCGTCCCCGTCCCTAAACAGTCGTGATCCAACTGCAACCTCTTGGTCGACGACGAGCCGGGCCCACTGCCGTCATCATCGTTGTCGACGACGTCGTTCCAGTACATCCCCGGAAGCACTGCCCTTTTCATCGGAAGCTGATGATGATCGGGTTGTTGTTTAGAGCACGAGGAAGAGGCTAAAGCGGTAGTTGTGGTGGCGGCGGCGGCGGCGGCGGCGTTTATATTAATTCCGTTGTCGTTGCTGCAGCTGAGCATTCCGTCGAACAGATTGTGGTCGTTTTCGCTTAGCGCACTCCCGTAGCTTAATAGTGTCGCGGACTTTGGTAGTTGTTGTTGCAGCTTTCCAATATTCTGTGGGCCCACCAAGTTGCTCAAATGAGACTGATTGATGGGGCCCAACATGTCATCAATAGAATCATGATCCCTCTCCTGATGATCCAATAGCCTATTTGTATTGTTCTTCTTGTAAATCCGGCACAACACCCAATCATCAAGCTAATTAACCAAAAAAAAAAAAAAAAAAAATCAGGCATAAATTCAGACAAAGGCATCGTGGTTTTGTAATCGGGAATTTTGTACGGACGAATTTACCCTCAGCGAGTTCTTCTTGTTGCCCAAGTCACAACCAGGAGGCTTGTTATTGGCCTTGTTCTCTGCAAGCCGATATTCATGCATAATCCAGTTGGTCTTAATCCCTTTTGGGGGTTTTCCTCCGTAGAAAACCAGAGCCTTTTTGACGCCGACTTTTTGAGTTCCGCCCGATGTCAACACCGGCTTGTCCGTCCCGGTGGCCTTCCAGTACCCCGACGTCGCCGCCCTGTTCGGCCGCGCCCCGTTCGGGTATTTCCGGTCCCTCGGGCTAAAAAAGTACCATTCTTGTTCCCCAAACGTCGCCTTAGCTGCAAAATTAATTATTAATTCTCCATAAAAACATGAATTATATAAATTAATACTTTTTTTTTTCCTTATTTTCGTGAAATTTGGATTGAGTTATAGATACCTGGAAGCTCCCAGGGATCGAACTTGTAGAGATCAACCTCAGCGATGATGGCGACCGGAAGAGGAGCTGACGTAGCCTTCTTCTTGAGGTAGTGGACAACAAGCTCCTCATCCGTCGGGTGGAAACGAAACCCCGGCGGAAGGTTCGGTTGTTGTTGTTGTTGTTGTTGTTGTTGTTGATGATGATGTTGAGATCCCGCCGAGGAGTCGGTACTCTCCATTGAAGTCCTGCAAAAGAGGAAAAACCCTAGCAGGCTTCACCACAAAAAAACTATTGTATGATTTTGTTCTTATTTTGGAAAGAAGAGGAGAGACTAAGAGAGTGGTGAAATGAAAATGTTGTTTAAAATGAGCATCGGAGAGTTGAGAGAATAATAATAATAATAATAACAATAACTATAATATAAGGGGTGGGAGAGGAGATTGTCTACGAGGCGTGCATGCGATGATGGGATGAGGGGCCAATAGAGACGAGTTTTATGGTGGGGGCTGATTAGTCGTTTTGGGAGTCTGCAAATGACGAAATTAACCCCGCCATTAAGGGCTAAAACGGAAAAGGACGGATGGGTGGTTAGGACGATAGAAACAGGTTAGGAGGAGGCGATGGGTACCCTGACGAAGACGCGAAGTGGAATACGGGCCGTCGATACGGGGGCTTTGCGAAGCCCGGAGGTGTGGACACGTGGTTGAGGAGAGTGGTGGGGGCCCACGGCCCACACAGGGCAAGGCAACAGAACAAAACCGAAAATAATAAAAATAATTATAAAAAAAAAAGAGAATAAAAGATACATATGTAAGATCAGATGGATAAGTGTGGGGTGGGAACCAACTTTACGCTTCAGATGTCATGCTTTTGTTGTGGCAAATAATACCACCAAAATTATGCTAAAGAGGGACCCCACCATGTCCATGTTGTTCCCACTCTAACCTCCCAAGGGGGGGAAAAAAAAGGCGACTTTAGAATTGGGACGTATGATTTTATTTGTGTTTTCTTTGGCCTAATGTGATTATCTTCTTTTGTATTCCAAATTTCTAAGTTATGGTTGTTAATTGCTCTATTTACTAGTCAAATGATGTTATTGGTGTTTGTTGAGATGTGTAAATACTCATTTGTTGTCGTCTCTTGTGTTCACTCCTAGCTAGTGCCAAACTCTTGAATACGGTACACATATCTATCTATGAATCAGTATTTTAATGAGTAGTAGAGTGAATATGGGGTGGAATTAAATTACATTTTATTCAATTTCAAATCAACTACCATAACTTTCTTGAAAATCACATGACTTACTATTAGTAATTGGCCTTTGTTCATGTCCTCTTTATTAGTCTTCTCCTAAGCTCAGTAAAATGAATGGAAAGGCTAGGTAAAGGGGGGCGTACGTGGAGAATTACTTTAAGTACAACATCAGTGTTCAACGAGACGTTAGAAAGTGCTTTTGAATATTTGTTGACCAATTAAAAGATGGTTTATCGTGAGGTAGAAAATGAATCCGTATTTTCAGCAAAAGACCATAATTTCGTCATGCATAAAACAAAACGTAGACTTCTATATGATAGGATATTTACATTTTTAATATGACATCACATCAAAATCAAATTGAGATGTGAATCAAATAAAGACATTAAAAACTTAAGAATTTTAAAATATTAGAGTATTTACTTGTGACCTTTAAATACTTTTGTAGACACTATGGATTATTAAGGCTTAGTAGGAAAAGATTGTGGTGACTCGATTAATAGTCAAAGGTTCAAATGCTGTGCCTTTCACTTAATATTTCTCTCGGTATTTGAGACAGGTCCTTAAATAAGGCTAGGAAGAGTATGTTAACGTTAGTCTTAATTTTAAGCTTTTGAGCTACTATAAGATTTTTATCAAATTTTGTCGAATGCTATTTATTCTTCATACAATTATCATATGACCTAACATTTAAAAACTACACTACAATAAGTACATCCTCTCACATGAAAATTAATCTTAATTTTCATTAGGACATAACATTCTCTCGCATGATCAATCTCAAGACTAAAACTAGTACTTTTCCTCGGAATGCCATTTGACCACCAAGTGGGTGGCAAAAAAGAGTAAAGGGTGGTAGAATCACTTATATTTGTCCACTTTTTGGCAATATGGCAAGAATCTTTGGAGGAATAAAGAGATGAAGGGAAGATACTATGCTAGGACGTGGGTCCCAATGCTGGTTCCTTGATCGACCAAAGGGTCTCAGTATGAGTGTCAAATACCAAAGCATTATCCAATCACATTTCTTATAAGTCTAAGTCTAGCTCATTTTACCGATTTGAGTTTAGAATTTAAATTTTTTTAGAGTAAAAAGCTCTCAAGAATAGTCACATTTAGAAGGGTCTCAGTATGAGTGTCAAATACCAAAGCATTATCCAATCACATTTCTTATAAGTCTAAGTCCAGCTCATTTTACCGATTTGAATTTAAAATTTAAATTTTTTTAGAGTAAAAAGCTCTCAAGAATAGTCACATTTAGAGCCCGTTTAGTTCGCTGATTTGAGTTTTTTATTCGAGTTGAGATGTAACTTTATATGAGAATTTTTTACTGTAACAAAAAAATTAGATGTGACTATTTCTGAGAGCTTTTTATTGTAGCAAAACTCAAATTCTAAACTCGAATAGGTAAAATGAGCGAGACCTTAACTTTTTTAATACAATAAAAAATTATCACATAAAATTACATTCCAACTCGAATTAAAATTTTAAATCAACAAACTAAACGAACATCCACCTCACCTTCAATTCACATGCGCCAAACACAAAATTCACACATAGAAATGAGTTCATGAAAAGTCAAGTGGGCTTTTGTACAGAAATTAGAAAAATCTTGACAAATATTATTTAAGAGTATATGAGGTCTTAATTTTTATTTTTTTTATTATTGCTTAATATTATTTTTAATCAAATAATTATATTAACAAGGATATTAATTAAAAATATGAGATAAAAATTCAGACTGTATATTTTTAAGGATAAATTCACTAATTTTTTTTTTATAAAAAATTATGCACATTTATTCCATTTCATGATTTCAAAGCAACTTGACGCCCAACAACTAAAGACCTATTGGAATTGGCTCCTAATTCATGGTCCCAATAACTTTTAAGACCTCGGTAGGCCACTATACACAATGACAAGGAAGGATCTAAGATGATTAGAAGTTGCCAAAGGATAGGTCAACAGCAATAAGACTGCTCTAATTAATTGCTCCAAATCACGCACGAGTCGCTTGGTTACTTAACATTAGAGATTGGCACGCACTAGTTTATTTACTAATTAGTCAAGCCATTGAAAATTTGAAAGCGAATCAAGGAGATGTGACAGAAATATACCAATTTCCCTGAAATTGAACAAAAACTCTTCACGAATGACACTATCCGTTCAATTCACTAATTCGAGTTTAGAATTCGAGTTTTGTTACAGTAAAACGCTCTAAAAAACAATCACATCTAACTTTTTTGTTATAGTAAAAAATTCTCACATAAAATCACATCTCAACTCAAATTAAAAACTCGAATCAACGAACTAAACAGACCAATACATCTAAACATTTATTTGGAAATAATGTGTGCAATTCCATTAAATGATGAAAAAAACCCAATTTAAGTGGTCAGAGTTTTTTAACTTTTGCAAGTAGAATATGACAATCTTTTTTTTTTTTTTTTTTATAGAAAGGTTTCGATGGTTTGTTTTCTTCATTTAATGATTAAAATTAGTAATGCACATACATCTAAACGTGTTGTTATTGAGGGAAAAAAACCTCTATATTGTTCTTCTACAGGCAGTGACAAAGCCAAAAAAAAAAAATCAGGGGAGTTTGAATTAAACAAAAATTTTAAACTAAATTAATTGTGTAATAGAGGATTATTAGAAGTAAAAATTGACAGTGTAAATGAAAATATATTAGTATTTTACCTAAAATATAGAATTAGAAAAATTTTAAAGGGGCAAAATAATATAAATCTTATATCAAACTTAAAGACATAAATAAGAAGAAATAGGACAAAATAATAAATTTTAAAAGAACACTCGGGGCTACAGTCTCTTTTAGGCCTTAATTAGCTTCGTCACTACCTATAGAAATCTTATATGATTCTTTACTCGGAAATCTTTATAACAGAGTAAACTATTTTATTTTTTCGATAGAGACAATTATTTTTTAATTATTAGATTAAATTTTTAATATTTTAATTTTTATAAAAAATTTATAACGCGCTATTTAAAATTATTTCTGCAGCAGATAATACTGTTAAAAAATTAATAAACAGTAAAAATACAATCCTCATTGATGGAGCAAAATATCCTACTCCACAGTAGAGACTCCCTTCTTTACTCTTTGAAATGCCTCTCATTCATTCAGTTTGCAGCCCGCCGTGAATGCATTGAAAAATGCAAGAATATTTTTACATTATAAAAAAGGAGCGTCCAAGCTTGATTTCTTGGTGACGGGGCAATCTCAGCTGGATCATTTGCTCGATTATATCCAGCTCAACCATTATTGAAATATGCAGAATTTAACGCAATGCCGCGACCCTGATTGATAGATAACTGTTACTCTGTTAAAATCCGAAAATCACATGATTGACATGTAGAAAAGCCTTTTCAATTCAAATCATAAAAGCATCGATGAATCTCAAAAAGCAAAATAAGAGATAATCCTCTCATTAAATTTTCAATATTTTGAATTTATCACATAGATGGTTATAAATTAAGGGTAAAATATCGAGTTTAATATTGTGTAAGTATAAATATAATTACAATTATATAATAATATTAGAACGCACGCCTTTTTAAATAAATTAATCTTTTAAAATAAAAATTTAATAATTTATAAATTACAATTCTTCTCCCTCATTTTTCTTCTTATCTCTCCTCAAATTTTAATAATAAAAAGGGATCTTACATCACTACAAAGCCCTTCTCTTGGCATTTAAGTCCCCGTACTCTCCTATAATTCTTTCTCGGTAGTGGAATCATCCCCTGCCTTAAAATTAAAAAAAATTAAAAAAAATTAAAAAACCCCGGGGAGTCAAGTTTCTTTTTTTTCGCTGATTCGAGTTTAGAATTCGAGTTTTGTTACAGTAAAAAACTCTTAGAAACAGTCACATTTAACTTTTTTACTACAGTAAAAAGTTCTCACACAACATCACATATCAACTCGAATTAGCGAACCGAACACCACTCTTAGCATTTATGTTCTTTAATTTTTCTTCCCGATTGTGAAATGATGATGAGAGTGTTTTTGTTAGATGAAATTTGAGCGTAAACACCAGTATTGCGTAAGAGGGAAATTCAATGTCAAATTACTAGTCCCATGAGTAAATAATGCACATAA